GCTCCGGACAAGGAAAAGTATCAAAGGGCAGTAACTCTGTATTTTGTCAAAATGGAGTTATGGCTCTTGTGCACTGCACTTCCTTTTAATGTCCTTGACATCTGTATGAAGTTGTACTGAATTCCAAACAGTAGTTTTCAAGTTATGCTCTGGACAAGGAAAAGTAACAAAGGGCAATAACTCTGTAATTAGTCAAGATGGAGTTATGGTTCTTGTTCACTGCACTTCCCCTTATTGTGCTTGACCATTGTATGAAGTTGTTTTGAATTCCAACCAGTAGTTTTCAAGTCATGCTCTGGACAAGTAAAAGTAACAAAGGGCAGTAACTCTGTAATTAGTCAAGATGGAGTTATGGTTCTTATGCACTGCACTTCCTCTCAATGTGCTTGACCATTGTATGAAGTTATAATGAATTCCAACAATAAGTCTTCAAGTTATGGTCCGGACAAAAGAAAGCAATGGAAAAGTAACAAAGGGCAATAACTCTGTAATTAGTTAAGATGGAGTTATGGTTCTTGTGCACTGCACTTCCCCTTATTGTGCTTGGCCATTGTATGAAGTTGTTTTGAATTCGAACCAGTAGTTTTAAAGTCATGCTCTGGACAAGGAAAAGAAACAAAGGGCAGTAACTCTGTAATAAGTCAAAATGGAGTTATGGTTCTTGTGCACTGCACTTCCTCTCAATGTGATTGACCATTGTATGAAGTTATAATGAATTGCAACAATTAGTCTTCAAGTTATGGTCCGGACAAAAGAAAGCAATGGAAAAGTAACAAAGGGCAATAACTCTGTAATTACTTTAGATAGAGTTATGGTTCTTATGCACTGCACTTCCTCTCAATGTGCTTGACTATTGTATGTAGTTATATTGAATTCCAACCATTAGTCTTCAAGTTATGGTTCGGACAAAAGAAAGCAATGGAAAAGCAACAAAGGGCAATAACTCTGTAATTACTTTAGATAGAGTTAAGTTCTTGTGCACTGCACTTCCCCTTATTGTGTTTGACAATTGTATGAAGTTGTTTTGAATTCCAACCAGTAGTTTTCAAGTTATGCCACGGACAAGGAAAAGTAACAAAGGGCAATAACTCTGTAATTAGTCAAGATAGAGTTATGTTTCTTACGCACTGCACTTCCTCTCAATGTGCTTGACCATTGTATGTAGTTATATTGAATTCCAACCATTAGTTTTCAAGTTATGCTCCGGACAAGGAAAATGCAACGGACAAAAAAAAAAGCAATGGAAAAGCAACAAAGGGCAATAACTCTGTAATTACTTTAGATAGAGTTATGGTTCTTGTGCACTGCACTTCCCCTTATTGTGTTTGACAATTGTATGAAGTTGTTTTGAATTCCAACCAGTAGTTTTCAAGTTATGCCCCGGACAAGGAAAAGTAACAAAGGGCAATAACTCTGTAATTAGTCAAGATAGAGTTATGGTTCTTGTGCACTGCACTTCCTATCAATGTGCTTGACCATTGTATGTAGTTATATTGAATTCCAACCATTAGTTTTCAAGTTATGCTCCGGACAAGGAAAATGCAACGGACGTCTGGACTGACCGACCAACCGACCGACCACCGGGTGACTCCTATATACCCCCCCAAACTTCGTTTTTGGGGGTATAAATATGTTTACATCATTGAAGTGTTTAAGAAAAAGATAATATCGATATTCATTGAACAGTAAGTAAAAATCGTCAGCGTTATATATATATGCGGTGGGTGGGGTAATGCGATATTTTCGCAATGAGCTTTCTAATGAGAGCCTCGTTAGAACGCGGTGTTGAGACATTGGACCCCACCATGAGCGTTATAATGAGACTGTAGTGTATATATGTATACATACATACATACATACATACATAATACATACATACATACATACATACATACATATATACATATATATATATTAGTGAACAACTTCATGAGGTGATGATATCATATACCAAATAATAAAGCTCTAGGCCTTGTATTTTCAAAAAAGAAGATATTTTAAATTTGCATTTTTGAAACACCTTTTGTGACCCAATGACCTACTTATACAGACCAAAACCATTTGAACAACTTTGGAAGGGGACCACCCAAGGATCATTCGTGTAAAGTTTGGTTACTGTCAGTAATTAGTTTCAGAGGAGATACTGTTTACTGTTGATGATGCACAAGGACGGCCTGTGGGGGATCACAACAGCTCCCCATGAGCATATTGTGCTCAGATGAGCTAAAAATACATAAGCAAAATTCAATCATTTGATCGTCAAGGTCAATTAAACTTCAAGGTCATATCTAAACAAGAAAGGTTTTTGTCACAAAAGCATATGTCTCCCAAAACTATGTATGGTCACTCATGTGAAGTTTCATTGAAATCCCATCAGTAGTTTGACCTCTGAAAGCCGGACAAGATTTTTCTATTTGTGGCTCTTGCGGCCATTTTATACAGCAAAGCTGAACATGCCGTGATATGCACAATTAGGGATGGTACTGAGCTCCTGTGAATTTTGGTAAAATTCCCGCCAACAGTTTGACCTATGATAGCCAGACAGGATTTTTCTATTTTTAGCTCTGGCAGCCATTTGATGTGCAGCAAAGCGGAACATGCCATCGATATGCACAACTAGGGATGGTACTGTTCACTCATGTAAAGTTTCATAGAAATCTAAACAGCAGTTCTATCTGTGAAAGCAGGACAAGATATTTCTATTTAAAGCTCTGGCGGCTATTTAGTGCAGCGAAGCTGAACATGCCAGCAATATGCGCAACAAGGGATGGTACTATTCACTCCTTTGAAGTTTCATAGAAATCTAACCAGCAGTTCTGTAAAAGCTGGACAAGATATTTCTATTTATAACTCTGGTGGCAATTTTGTGCAGCAAAGTGAAACGTGCTGGCGATATGCACAGCTAAGGATGGTACTGATCACTCCTGTGAAGTTGAGTTGAAATCCCACCAGTAGTTTGGCCTGTGAAGGCCGGACAAGACTTTCTATTAAGCCTGACAAGCTTAAAGCAGACGGACAACCAGACGGAAGTTCTAACGGGACAGTAATAATGTGGCTACTCTATTGTTCTTTTTAGCCACACAAAAAATAACCACATAAAAGCATTAGGGAATGAATGACATCAAAGAGAAAGAACCTATTGTCCCTCTAGCCACATTATTACTGTCCCGTGAGAGCGAACAGACAGACGGACAGATGACGAAGAGGCAAAAACATTTTGTCTCCCAAAAAGTTTGGGAGACATAATAAAAAAGTTATACCCAGTTAAGCAAAAAACAAGAGAATTTCATTAATTTGACATTGACAGTCAAGGTCAATTACATTGACAGTCAAGGTCAATTAAAGGTCAAGGTCATATCTAAATAACTTAATATATTTGTTTGGTAGCAAGTTTTCTTTTGTCCAAGTATAAATGAAATCTGTACATAAATAACAAAATTATGACAATTTTACCAAAATTCAATATTTTCACTTGAAGGTCTATCTTATTTAAAGGTCAGGGTCAAGGTCAGTTCAACCTCTCATTAAGTCATGTCCAAAAAGGTTGTTTTGTCCAAGTATGAAGATAATCCATTGATTGAGTCAAATATAGCAAAAATCAGTGAAAATTCAATAATTTAACCTTTAGGTCAAGGTCATAAATGAGGTCAATTACAATTTGACATACATAAAGGTCTTATCCTAAAAAAATGTTTTTTGTCTTAATATGAACTCAATCCATTCACTTATAATAAAGTTATAGTCAGTTACAGCAAAAAATTGAAAAATTCAATAATTTGACCATCAATATTAAGGTCATTTATGAGCCAAGGTCAAGGTCTGTCACTTGTTCACTTGAAGGTCTATCCTAGGAGATTGTTATGTTCAATCCATTCAAGAATAACAAGGTTATAGCTACTTATAGAAAAATCTGCATAAAAAAAAACGAAGCAAAATTTAGTCATTTGACCTTGAAGGTCATGGTCATTTATGAATGAAGGTCAAGGTTAGTCTGGTCTACTAAAAGGTCTTGTCTCAAGGGTTGTTGTGGCCAACTATGAAAACAAAACACCAAGAACTTAAGAACTTGTGATCAAGTTAACAGTTTGCGGACTGCATCGTCAACAGCAATGTGGATATGATTGTAACAATACCACTACTATTTACTTTTCCTTTTTTTTAAAGTCAAGTTAAAAATGAACAAAGGGCAATAACTTCAGAGTTAAGGAAGGGTCAGGCTTACAGTTCTTATGCACTGCACTTCTACTTATTCAGATCTATCTTCCTACAAAATTTGAAGTTGATATCTCTTGTACATTCTGAGTTTTGTCCTAGACAAGAAATCTGCAACTAAGCGACCAACCAGCCGACTGACCACCAGCTGATTCTAGTAAACAGCCAATAGGGGGTGGGGGGTGTAAAAATCATATTTACGATCCATAACTTTGACAAAAATCATTGAATTGAAAAATGCAGAAAATATGCATAAGTAGATTTGGTACTAATCATTCCTGTAAAGTTTGGATGAAATTATACTAGTAGTTTTCGAGTAGTTGTTGATGGAATTTTAACTGAGGAGTCTGCTACAATAGTTGTGTCTCATTAATATACAAAATGTCCCCATTATTTTTTATTTAAGGAGACATTTGTCCATAGTTTTTTGAAACTTTGGTAAAACACTGCCTAAAGTATGTCAATGGTACAAGTTACCAATGAGCTATTGTGCCTTTTCATTTGTTCATGATAAAAAGATACCTAAATACTGTTGATACAATGTGATAAGCGATAGATTTCCCATTTAGGTAAGGACAATATAGTTTTGATACAGCTAAAAGTACTGCAACCAACAACCGTATAATGTATGCAAAATGAGCAGGTTAATATTTTCGAACACATTTTAAATAATCAAACAAATCAATAAACATGTACCTGGTATGTAATCACTTAATATTACAAGACTACACTTCCAGTAGAAAATTAAAAGTAAATTCTAGTTATGTAGGCTAAAACATAGTACATACCCAAGATTTAGTATTTTCAGTTTTACCATTTGACTTATGGTTTGGGGTAATTCCTGAAATAAAAATACCTAACACTTAAAACTTTTAAACACAAGAGCAATGTTAACATTAGTGTTGTCCCGATTGTCGCTGAAAATTGAAAACTAATCAGACCACCCCGAAGTCGGCGACAATCGATAGTCCTTTTTGTAAATCGATTATTTTAGTGTTCTACCACCGCTAAATTACCAGCCGACCCTAAACTTTTTTGCCTAGGCCTAAAAAAAATATATCTGTGTTTCGGGGAAACCGACCCTACTAAGTAAAAGCCGCCGACCCTAGAGGTTTTTTCTTTTCATATTTAGCGATTTTTTTCTACATGTCTGAATAAAAATTCAAAGAGTTAATTTCTATGACCTGTTTGATTGTAAAAACGAAATTAGTTAAAGAACTTTAAAGATATTGACCCACATTAGACGAATTTTGGACAAGTCAAATAAACAGCAGTAAACTTTGTCTTCAAAGTTACGTAAACATTGGTAAATTTTGCCGTAAATTACAAATTTGAAAATTTTGTTTTACAATGCCTGTTTAACTCATAAGATATTTAATTCAATATAAACAAAATCAACAACAAACAGAATTGTGAGTGTCTCTGCAGGAAACAGACACATTTTCGTTTGTCACATATTTTCACGATGCCGATTTTTACGATTAAAAGATAAAGTAAACAAAAGGAAAATTTGTTTTGTTAAAATGTGTCCAATAGCACTTTCAATATAGTTTATTGGTGAAAATAATTTAAGGTAGTGTTGACATTAGTTTAGATTCAGTAATTTGCCAGTATGTGTTGTACATAAAATACTTTCTTGGGGGGGGGGGGGGGGGGGGGGGGGGTGTGCAGTTAATCAGGAAAGAAACAGTATAATGGTCTGATGATACAGGGTTTAAGAAATTATTTTTCAAATATTTTCAATCATTTGTTAACGGTAAAGTATTTCCCATTTGGAACATATTACCATTATTTTTCATAAAGCCTTCAGCTTTCGCATGTACATGTATGTTGAGAAGCGCCCTTTAAAGTACATAAATTACTGGTAGTATATCACATGACGACTCCCTGCACTGGAAACGGTGAACAGCTGATTGTCATTCGATGTTTTGCGCATTGTGAAAGAAGCACGTTTTTCATAGAGCTTTTATTGAAGTCTCTGATATTTTTTAGCGTGGTAATTTTTTACCGTATTTTACTGTTTTATTTTCAGTAAGTATTTCTTTATTCTTTATTTCTTTATATCCAAGTTATTTATTTCGTGTGTGAGCTAATCCAGGGCGTAGTTTCCTGAGATAATTATGAGCTCAAGCGGAGACGAGGGTCTTCGCAGCCAGAGTAATTCTGGGTCCGAGGAAGATTTTTCTGGTTTCGAAAGAGATGATATCCCTATGGTGGGTGCTAATATTGAAATAAGGGCCGTAGAGCCATAGTCAAAAAACAAGAATAGTAAATAAAAATAGTAATAAAGAGGTTGCTCAACCCAGTTATAAAGAGAAACAAAAATCTAAACAGAAGAAAACGAAGACTAAAAGTCAAGTAAGAAATCAAAGAAGAATAATATTGATTTGGAAAATTTAACTTCTGATGATATTGCTAATTTGAAGAAAAAATTGGGTCTTTCCTCGGGTTTACAACCTGATAATTATGATGATGAAGTGTTTTTTGAGCCCGATTATAATGATTATGATGAGTGTCCTATTACTAGAAATCAACCCAGACCAAATTTAAGGGTTCAAGTTAATGCTTATGATGTTTCAGACTCTCTGGTAATCAAAATCAAGATAATTCTATTAAAGACAAAAATATGTCTCAGAGCATGTTGAATGCCATGTTTGGGGATGCAAAGAAAATACAGACCCATCTGATAATGAATGGTCAATGCCGAAATTAAAGTCGGTAGTGAAAGACGATCCAATTCTTCCATCTTTGGCGTCCCTTATAAATACTGCCTGTACTTCTCAATGTGAGGTTGATGACATGATGTCGAGGTATAAAGTTCCTCAGAATTGTGATAAGCTTTGTCCTCTTTTAATTAATTCAGAAAATATTAAACAAAGAGGCCCATGATGGCCCTATATTGCTCACCTTAAGGAATAGATCTTATAAAGTATTTTTCTTTTTAAAAACAAGCAACAGGTTTAGAAAATTCTTTAATGTCATTTGAAGGTTAGTGTCAAATGTAATGTTTTTTTGGCCGACAGCAACAGGAATGCTAACAAGTGTATAGAAATACCTCTTTTTTCTTTTCTTTAAAGTACAGGTTGCTAAAAAATACACTCCCTGTAGCGTGTTTACATCATGAAAATTTTAACAATGACATCATAATTAACAAGACAAAGTACAAATTTGGATAATACTTCAATAAAAATGGGTCAAAGACAAAAATGGCCGGGTTGCATTTGTATACCAAATAACATGACTCATGAGGCTGTGATGTTACAAAAAATTTCCTACCATTGACCATTAATATCGATCATTTAACTAAGTCGGTAAACTGGAAGTGGATAAGCGATAGACCTGAACTTTGCAGTCACAATACCAAATATCAAGAGGCTGTGATATGTATGTAGTAGCTACGAAAACTGTTACGGAAATTACCTTCCATTTACAATTAATGCCGAAAATTTCCCTAGGTCAGAAAACTGAAAGTGGATGAGCCACATACCTGAAATCATATCAATGCTGTATACCAAACATCAAGAGGCTGTAATAAGTAGTTGCTGAGAAAATTGTTACGAAAAATTTGTACCATTGACCATTTTTATGAATTTAACTAATGAGAAAATTGTTACGAAAAATTTGTACCATTGACCATTTTTATGAATTTAACTAAGTCAGTAAACATGAAGTGGATGAGCGACAGACCTAAAATCAAATCCCATGGTATGGGACAATGTGTTAATGCTGCATACTAAATATCATGAGGCTCTGATAAGTAGTTGCTGAGAAAACTGTTACAAACAAGCAAATTCGTTGAATTTATATCCCCCGCCGAGTACTGGTTATTATTAACACAACAACTGAAGACATAAGGCTTTATTTATATATTAATCATGGCATAAACAGAAATATTCTTTGAACTTGATAAATATTCAGGGCAATAACAGAGCCATAACTTTGTGTTAAATAGTAATATCTGGAAATGCCAATGAGATGTATGCATACTACATAACTAATCAAGGGCCATAAATCTGAGTTATAAGTATCTGACTGGATCAAGGCGACTATATGCACATCTCCTCTTAGTATCTCATAAAGTTTCATTGAATTCCAGCCAGTAGTAGCAGAGAAGTAGCGAGGAAACAAATATTTTTCTATATGGATACTGCATAACTAATCAACGGCCATAACTCTGAGTTAAAGTGTCTGACCGGAACAAGCCGACGATATGCGCATCTCCTCTTGGTATTGAAGGTTCCCATAAAGTTTCGTTGAATTCCAGCCAGTAGTTGCAGAGAAGTAGCGCGGAAACGATTTTTACTCCATATGCATACTGCATAACTAATCAAGGGCCATAACTCTGAGTTAAAGTGTCTGACCGGAACAAGCCGACGATATGCGCATCTCCTCTTGGTATTGATGATTCCCATAAAGTTTTGTTGAATTCCAGACAGTAGTTACAGAGAAGTAGTGAAGAAACGATTTTTACTCCATATGCATATTGCATAACTAATCAAGGGCCATAACTCTGAGTTAAAGTGTCTGACCGGAACAAGCCGACCATATGCGCATCTCCTCTTGATATTGATGATTCCCAAAAAGTTTCGTTGAATTCCAGCCAGTAGTTGCAGAGAACTACTCCGGAAACGATTTTTACTCTATATGCATACGGCATAACTAATCAAGGGCCATAACTCTGAGTTAAAGGGTCGGACCGGAACAAGCCGACGATATGCGCATCTCCTCTTGATATTGATGATTCCCATAAAGTTTCGTTGAAATACAGCCAGTAGTTGCAGAGAACTACTCCGGAAACGATTTTTACTCTATATGCATACTACATAAATAATCAAGGGCCATAACTCTGAGTTAAAGGGTCTGACCGGAACAAGCCGACGATATGCGCATCTCCTCTTGATATTGATGATTCCCCTAACGTTTCGTTGAATTCCAGCCAGTAGTTGCAGAGAACTACTCCGGAAACAAAATTTTACTATATATGCATTCTACATAACTTATCAAGGGCCATAACTCTGAGTTAAAGGGTCTGACCGGAACAAGCTGACGATATGCGCATCTCCTCTTGATATTGATGATTCCCATAAAGTTTCGTTGAATTCCAGCCAGTAGTTGCAGAGAACTACTCCGGAAACGAAATTCGGACGGACGGACGGAGGACGGACAGATGCGCATCTCCTCTTGATATTGATGATTCCCATAAAGTTTCGTTGAATTCCAGCCAGTACTTGCAGAGAACTACTCCGGAAACGAAATTCGGACGGACGGACGTACCAAAATTTAATGTTTATGAGGCAAATCAGCTCATAAACACCACCTGGACCAACGTCCATAAGCAAAATAAGCTCATAAAACCAAAAAAATAGCTCTTAATTTGAATTTTATGAGTTTTTGTTTTTTATTTAACTACGGAATGAAGCTCATAATAATCAAATGTTTGCTCCGATGGATGGACGGACGGACAACGCCAAAACTATATCCCCCTCCCGAAAAATGACCCAACCTGCCTGCCTGGAATCAAGTCTCAATACATGATGGTAAACAGTATTCTTTTTTTCATATATGTAAATTTTTTTCGAAAACCAGTATTATAGTTGTAACAGATATCCCATTAGTTTTTAAATATTAAAATATTTTTTGATAGTGTTTACTCAGGGGTATCATGTTGACCCAAGCATCTGTGGTTTATCATATTAGAACACCCTTTTTAAAAAAAAAAAACAACAACAAACAGCAGGGATCTCAGGAAGGTCAGAATTTCACGTGGCAGACTGTTTGACCAAAATTTTCATGAGTCAATTCAGTTTTTTCTTCTCTTATTTCTCTACATGAACCATTTTC